TGAGCCTAAATTCATTTTATAGCCAGAATTCCAAGTGCAGTTAGTAGATTTGGTGTCTACAAGCACTAAAGAAGTGCTAATCAATGCTTTAGTGTATAATTTTAGTCTACAAAATCTTTCTTAATTATGGATGTAATATTTCTAGGTAGAGCATTTGTTATGTTTTATTTTCAGGATTTGTAACTACTGAAAAAACGTACAAACTGTATCTATCTATAAAATTAGTGCAAAGGCCTAATATTAAAGAATTATTGGGAAGCGCCTTGATATTGGCTGGACAGATGACACTTTTATTTACCAAAATAAAATGTAAAGGTAATTCTGTGATTTTATTAGTAGTAATAACTAATAATGTATTTTCATTTTAAAATATTTTGGGGATTAAGTAGTAATAACAGGTGATAAATATTTGTATATTGTAAAGACGTTACCGCATTGTTGTATGATGATTTCTCAGAAAATATCAAGAATTATTTCATCTATTGAATGCCCAGCCAGTGTTTCATTATAGTCTAATATGGTTACATATAGTATAGTAACACATTTTACTTCAGCTTTGCAACAGAGTGCAACAGAGACAAAAAAAAGGCACAACCAACTTTTGAGCTTGTTTTGAAAACTCACAAACCAAAATGTGCTTTAAATTCAGATGGTTCTTATTTCTTTGCATAAACTTACTTGCTTGCTATTTATTATTCAGACATCCTATTCTTTCAAATGAAGTGTGAAGATTACTTGAGTCACTTGTTGGTAACAGCAATCACTACAATTCAATCGCTACAATTACAAGTTTACCCAGACTGGAACTTGCACTTTGTTCATCTAAAAACAGTTGGGGGAATATTTGTAGTTTAAGAATGATGGCTCCGTGTTCCGTTATATTCATACATAAAACTTGGCAATGTAACATTTCTGATAAACCATAATATAGATGTTTCGATAACTGAATTCATCTTTAAATTTTGTGTTGTTGTATGCAATACAGTACAGTAACTCACTGTTTAAACTGCTTAGTGCTAATTTTCTTTGTAAATGATTTTTAGGTAATGAAAGCTATTTCAGGGTTCACTTTCCCTAGGTGTATGATTTTTATTCACTGCATTAACTTTGATTAAATGTTTTCAAAGCAAATCAGTGATGGAGTTACTTTACCGAAATATAAAGGTGCAAAAGTCAAATATAACCCTCTCTACCAAAATATATGCCTCATGTTTGTTTGAAAAGAGGCTTAGTCATATAGTTTCTAATTTTCTCTTCAGTGTATAAATCAGTATTAAGATTGTGTTAAGGTGTTAGAATGCAAATGTAGACATATGAAGTCTGTGATTCAAGAGCTTAATGTGTTTACACAGATGCTGGTTGGATTTCACTGTAGAACTGTAATGTGTCTCCTATTTTCCTTTTAAATTTTAAGACTGTATGTAAGTATTGTATAGAACAGTTGTTGTAAGAAACTTTTTGCTTACTTGCTTCATCACAAAGACTGAGAATTTGAACATTTTTATTACCTAAACTTTGTGAGGTTTTAATTTCTTTAGACACTGAGAAAATAAAAATGGGAGGACATATCGCTGGGTTTTGCAAAATTTTTGATAGGAAGTTAGAGAAGAACGAGTAACTAGAGTGGAGTAGAAGAAAGAAAGAAAGAAAGATCTTTTTTCTAGTATGTAACCCAGATGAACCAAGACTGATATGATTAATAGTAGTAATGATAAAATTGTGGTACATTAAAGTCAATCCAGTAAAAATAAATAGTATTAATTTCAGTATGTGAATCTGAGCGTACATGGCTATACACATATTTGTGTTAGTAGAATACCATGTTTTATAGTCCGACACAGAAGATGGTAAGTTTTATTTGTAGTTCTTTATTTGTAGATAAATATTTTTAAACGTACATAAATAATTACTCATAACTATGCAGATTCTGTGAATAAATCAGTAGAACAAAGCAATTTTTTCCATAAACCCCTTTCCCCAGAGGCTGGTATTTGAATACATCTATATAGTTTCCATTTACATATCAAACTAGCTGAATGGATTTTCTTAAGACATTATTTTGGAAGTACAGTTTGGTGGAGCCCAAATATTACGAGTTTGAGCTTAAAAAAAAATTTCTATCTAAAACAGTGAATACAAAGTAAGGTATAGAATAGATGCCCAGCCCAGCCTGCACAACAGGGTTGCTACCATGTTGTTAGAATAATTACATTTTGGCTGAACTAACTAATTTAGAAAAACTGCAGTACATCTAGCAAGACTGAAAACTTTCCAGGATTTTTTTTTTTAATGTAATTTAAAACAATACCTCTTCTAGCTGCCAACAAACTCTTTCC